CGTAAAGTGAAGCGACAGCTTTAAACAAGTACCAAAACGGGGAAAAGGTGGCTAATGCAGCCTCAGCAGTGACGTTTCAAACCTTCGCAGAGAAGTGCATACGCTACCTGAGGAAATCATTCCAACCAACAGATACAACTTATTTGAGGTCTTTAGTCGCTCAGTTGGCGTGTGATATACTCATCGCCTTCGGCCGGGGGTAAGTTGGATAGCTATTCGCATGCATGCACATCGCGTCATCCTCGCTAACTGTGGCGTTGACAATTAGCAAACATTGTCCGACGGCAGCACGGTCTCAGCTTCTGCGTTGCGAAAGCTCACAACGCAACCCAGGCATCGCCAGTTGGTGGGTCAGCAAACCCCTTCCGTGCTACATGTCTCGACCATGTACGTTATCACCGCACCGTTTTCTATCACACCACCCTGCGCTGCATACTTTGTGCTGGACGTGCCCTGGACCTAGCGTTGCGGCCAACTAAACGCTGTTTCCGCCCGGGATCGAACCGGGGGCCTTCCGCGTGTAAAGCGGATGTGATAACCACTACACCACGGAAACACCTGTTCAGGCTGAACGAGTCGGCCGGTCGGGAGACAGGAGCTGACAGACTGACCTAGGCGTGATCAGCTCACCGGGGGCGGGTCTACCTCAAGTAGACCCGCCCCCGGTCTACCCGGGGCGGGTCCCGGTTAGTAGTAGCAGACCCACCCGGTTTTCTTGAGATAGACCCAGAACTAGCTTAAAACTTGTCGCTGACCAGTCGTCCAGCCATGGCGCCCTAACTTTTCACATCAGATGTGAACATCAACGGGGTTGTGGCTCAAGTCGTAGAGCGTTGTGGGTGTTTTCATCTTGCCATCCTTTGCAAATGGTCTGCTACTTCGGTGCCGGCTTTACACAGCAAACATGCGTCGCACAAACATGTACAAACAGGTGTCGTGGCTGCGTGGAGGGCGCCAAGTGCCCAGGATTCGGCAGTGAGCCTCCGCTTGAGCGGCCGAGAGGTATTTTTAACTTATCTGCTCCACGAGCCCTGATAGCCTTGGCATTGAAAGCTTTTGCTATAATGACTTCGTTTGGCCGGTTACCAAGCTCATGGCAACGCTACATGTAGCAACGCCATATCCTCCTTTTGGATATGCCGGGGCATGGAACCACTGGACAAAGTCCCTACCAGCCCCAAATGTTAAGCCCAAAACCTAGATTATGGAGCTGCGGGGTATCGATCCCCGTACCTCTCACATGCTAAGCGAGCGCTCTACCACTTGAGCTACAGCCCCAGTGATATTCGCATCTGTCGTGAAATATTGGGGCGCCATGGCTGACCGACTGGTCAGCCTTCACTTGACGTGGGCCCGCCCCCGGAGAGCTGGTCATGTCTAGGTCTGTCGGTCTGCCCCAGTCTCCCGACCGGTCGGCTGGTCGGAGATTATCAGGCGTTTCCGTGGTGTAGTGGTTATCACATCCGCCTAACACGCGGAAGGCCCCCGGTTCGATCCCGGGCGGAAACAGCGTTTAGTTGGTAGCAACGCTACTAGGTATCTGGTGCTGTCTTACCCAGTAACTGAGCGGGAGACAAAACAGCGCGGAATGCCACCACTGAATTGCACCATAACGCGTGGGCAAAACAGCAGCAAAAATTTGAGTTGTATTTTAATTGGTACGTAATTGGCACGCTTATCATATCAACTACATTGTTTTGGCTTCGTAACTTAAAGCGGCCAGTTCTGAGTACGTGGCAAACTGAAGTCTTTGAAACGACGTGTGAAGCTTTGTCAATGGAGTAAGGTGAGGACTAATTTGCGCGAACAGAAACCAGTTAATTGAGGTCTTCAGTCGCTAAGTGGTGTGTGATATACTTGGCGCCTTGGGCCAGGAAGTAAGCTGGATAGTCCATTCAAATGCATGCACGTCACGTCATCCTCGATAACTGCAACGTCAATTAGCGAACATTGTCCGACGGCAGTGCGGTCTCAGCTGCGTTGCGAGAACAAGAACTTATGAGACAAGGCAGATGTCGCCAGCTGGTGGGTAAGCAAATGCTGGACCCGCTTTGATGCACTTCCTTTGATAAGGATCTCGTTTGCACTGGACACGACATTGCGCGAGAGAATCAGCTTTAAAATGTGCGCCGGGTAGAGCCAGAAATCGCTCTCTCGAATTCATGCCTCAGATCATTCCCGGAAACCAAATTTCAGCGGAATGCGAGGGCCCATGGTACATAATTTGCTATCCTGGCGGTCAATCAATCCTGGGACATTAACCATACAAGTATCATCCACCATTCCAGTCAAATCTTTTCATGCACCGCCATAGGCTTAATGTTCAGCATTCTCGGAAACTGGGGAGCACCCACGGACCACTGTTACTGCGCCTATGCTCCTCGCGAACTTTTGCTTACCTATTTTTGTCAAGCTCTCCTTTTGCGTTACGTTTACCTGTGTACCTTTGATTTTTACGAACAAGTTGCGTTTGCACTTCACGCGTACGCACTTTTTTAGACGCAATTCTGTCCTGACGTATTGTTGTCAATAGGAACCTTTTTGATACGCATTTTTTATTAAAGGAACAAATTTTTCCGCGTGTACTTCAGTCATACGGGCTTTAGACCTTTCGTAGATATGCTTACGAACAATCGCGAATGCACATAATGCACACGTAGTTCTGTCTTAAAACCAACGTCGCTACCCAGGGCTGAATTTCGTCCCGACCGGCCCTGAATGTTAAACCCAAAACTCTGGAGCTGCGGGGTATCGATCCCCGTACCTCTCACATGCTAAGCGAGCGCTCTACCACTTGAGCTACAGCCCCAATGACACTGGCACCTGATGAGAATAATTGGGGCGCCATGCTTCACCGACTGGTCAGCCTCCACTTGAGGTGGACCCGCCCCCAGAGAGCTGGTCATGTCTAGGTCAGTCGGTCGGCCCTGTCTCCCGAGCGGCCGGCTCGTTGGGCGGGGCCGAGTGTTTCCGTGGTGTAGTGGTTATCACATCCGCCTAACACGCGGAAGGTCCCCGGTTCGATCCCGGGCGGAAACACGTTTTAGCTGGTAGCAGCGCTCCGCTCGTTGTGTAGTGTAAACACCGGGCAAGACAATATTACAGCTATTTACAACCACATGAGTGAATCAACCATTACCCATGGGCGCATGTTGTAACGTTACAACCACATGAGTGAATCAACCATTACCCATGGGCGCATGTTGTAACGCTGTAACTTTGTATGCTGAGTTGCAAAGGTCTTCTACAGACTCGCTACTGGCAGATACCCCGTAACCAACAGAGATGACAAATCGGTGGCACATGCAGATTACGTTGGCGTAGCTTCGTAAGCTGAAGCGACAGCTTTACACACGTACCAAAGCAGGGAAAAGGTTGCTTATATACAGTCTTTGAAGTGACGTTTCAAACCTTTTCCGTCGAGTGCATACGCTTCCTGAGAAAATCTTTCGAACGAACAGCAAGAACTAATTTGAGGTATTCAGTCACTGAGTTCACGTGTGATATACTCCTCGCCTTAGACCGGGGGTAAGTTGGATAGTTATCCACATGCACGTACGTCACGTCATTCTCGATGACTGTAACGTTGACAATTAGCGAAGTGTCCGACGGCAGCACGGTCTCAGCTGCGTTGCGAGAACATATGGGACAAGCTAGACGTTGCCAGTTGTCGGGTTAGCAAATCTGCACATTCACCTGAACAAATCTTGACCATGTACGTAATCAAAGCACCGCTTTTCATTATACCACCCTGCACTGCATAATTTGTGCTGGACGTGGTCAAGGACTTACATTGCTAAACCAACTACCAACTAAACACTGTTCCCGCCCGGGATCGAACCGGGGGCCTTCCGCGTGTAAAGCGGATGTGATAACCACTACACCACGGAAACACTTAAACGTTGCTGACGAGCCGGCGGGTCGGGAGACAGGGGCCGACCGATTGACCTAGACATGACCAGCTCTCTGGGGGGAGGGTCCACCTCAAGCAGAGTCTACAGTGAGTTCATCTACTGTGCCAGACGCCCAAGTGACCTGTGTTGTGACCTGTGACCTGTGACCTGTGATGTGTTGAGCTTGGCACACACATGCGCCAAACACGGATAAGTTGAATTTTGAAATATTCCCCCGAAAGGGACATTTGGGGACATCATAGGGATAGATCTGCCTGAGCATACATCAAGACATTATACTTATCGCAAACAGTCGTTTTCTATGCATTTAAATTAGTAGCGATCAAGCGCCAAATTCGAAGCATTTGGATTCACGGATTGCAAGCGCTTAAAATGTGCATATTTGCCACTACACAGGACATGTTCGGCACAGCTTTTTCTAAAGCATCGTGTCCAGTGAGGGCTGACCTGTTGGTCCGCCAAGGTATTCAGCTATTGCGAAAAGAAACGCTGGCAAACGGAGCAGTAGCTGAGAGGGCAGAGCGGTCTCTCAGCATGTGAGAGGTGCGAGGATCGGTACCACGCAGCTCCAAAACGCTAGTTTTCACATATGAACGCTCGTGACATAATTCATTTCCCACTCCCGAAAATCCCCAATCCTAAATCCTAAAATCGTGGACAGAACAATGCCACGTTTACTATTGCTCTGAAGTGTAATTGGCCCGTTTCCTTTTATCACCGCGGAGGCGAGTCGACGCAAGAAGCAAATGGCTTCTCCCGCACCACCTCCACCCAAAGTTCAGACAGTTTGCTGTCCCGCGCTCTGACACAATAATTGTGTCACGAAGATGATGGGTGGCATTAATCGGCATGGAGGCACCATAACACCGTCCTGCTCCTCCCGACACTGGCTAGCGTCCGTAAACCAAGTGAAACCTTTCCAAAACAATGGTGTTCAGTTTAGAACTTGATGTCGCCTCCGTCCTCAGCACGCCCGTAAGCTTTGGCCCAGCACACACAATGGGGGCCCGAGATCCTACCCACAACAGACGCCACGTGTCCGCCACAGACGGCGTCGTCACACCACGTCGGCATGCATGGGTCCGCTTACTTCCAGTGCAGGTCGGCGACGCGCCTCTGCAGCCGGTGCTTGATGAGCGGCACGGTGGGCCGCCGCGCCTGGTACAGGCGCACGGAGTCGTCGCGCAGCGCCACCGCCAGCCGCGCCGTGTGCGGGTGCCAGGCGAGGAGGCGGACCACGGCGCCGGCGCGCCGCGGTGCGCCGACCGGCGGCGATCGCGCCGCGCCGGTCTGCGGGAGCGACCTCGGGGTCACGGCTCCACGCGGCGGCGCGAGGGACGCCAGCCGGAACGAACGCCACCAGGGTGGACGTTTGGGTGATGGTCAGGCGCGTTCATCGCTAACGACTCTCTCTCTCTCCTCTCCCTCTCCCTCTCCCTCTCCCCCTCTCCCTCTCCCTCTCCCTCTCCCTCTCCCTCTCCTCTCCCTCTCCCTCTCCCTCTCCTCTCTCTCCCTCTCCTCTCCCTCTCCCTCTCCCTCTCCCTCTCCCTCTCCCTCTCCCTCTCCCTCTCCCTCTCCTCTCTCCCCTCCCTCCCTCTCCCTCTCCCTCTCCCTCTCCCTCTCCCTCCCCTCTCTCCTCTCCTCTCTCCTCTCTCTCTCTCTCTCTCTCTCTCCCTCTCTCTCTCTCTCTCTCTCCTCCTCTCTCCTCTCTCTCTCTCTCTTCTCTCTCTCTCTGGGTACTGATAGTGTAGTGGTTGAGCTGTACGCCTGGGAAATCAGAGGTATGGGGTACAAATCCCCCAAGTGCCCGCCTCCCTGCCAGGGTGAAAGCCAGGCAATATTATAAAGCCTCAGCAGCTGAGTGCGTCGTAAAGCCCCAATGACGAGCTCGCTGGTGCCTAGCGGTGCAGTGTGAACGGTTACAGTTTGGAGAGACACCCAGCCCGCTCGCCTGCCGTTCAGGAGATACCAACGGTTCGCAGAGCATGGCCAGAGACACTCAATACAAGCTCCGGCGCGGTGGCGGTGACTTTGGACGACAAAATTCGACACACTTGCACAACGAACAACGCCGGACACGAAATAGCCTACCAGTCTTCACCAATCGCCAACGATCTACCACGGTGAAGTGCAGCGCCCCGAAGCACGCGATGAAACACAATTCCAACGGAAAACTGAGACGTTGCCGGCATGCGCCCAGCGCGTGCGGGCACCCGTTACCTGACTGACAATGCTGGCCGTGTAGGGCAGCCGGAGGAGGGCGCTGACGAACGAGGCCAGCCTGCCGAGCCAGCCCGGCAGCGAGCCGGGCCTGCGATCCGACGCCAGGTCCTCCAGCACGGCTGCCAGGCCGCCGCGGTGCCTGTGAACAGCCAGCAGTCGTCACTGCACGACAGCAGAGATGACGACATGCATGCGGCTCGTCATAGCACATCACCGACAACAAAACTTGCACGGTCCTAGTTTGAAACGGGGACAAAAGTTTCGAACACCCATCAATACAACAAGCATCTTAAAAGCACAGACATCAGGTTCGGTCTCGATCAAGCACTCGAAAAGAAAAGCCCAACTGCACGCGAGGGTTTTTTGCCGTCGGCGGCTAGGAGGCCCCCACTGGACCGCTGGGCCCAGCGTGCTTACCAGCTGGCCAGCAGGCGCGAGCTGGCCGTCTCCTGGGTGGGAAGGAACACGTGCTCCATGCCGGCCATGGAGGAGCGCCCGGCGTCCGGCCGTATCGTCACGCTCAGCTCGTCAGCACGCTGCAGCACACGGAGACGTCACTGCAGGCCGCCGCCCGCCCGCCCACCACCATCCTCATGTAATACGGGGTCGTGGCTGCGGCCGCCGTCCGCCTACCACCATCCTCATGTAATACGGGGTCGTGGCTGCCGGCCGGCGCCCGCCCACCACCATCCTCATGTAATACGGGGTCGTGGCTGCCGGCCGCCGCCGCCCGCTCACCACCATCCTCACGTAATACGGGGACGTGGCTGCGGCCGCCGCCGCCCGCTCACCACCATCCTCACGTAATACGGGGACGTGGCTGCCGGCCGGCGTCCGCCTACCACCATCCTCATGTAATACGGGGGCGTGGCTGCGGCCGCCGCCGCCCGCTCACTACCATCCTCATGCCATGTGTTGGTCCTTGTACTGTCAGCTATCAATAGTGGGCGCAAAATGACCCTAGAAGTCGACGCGCCCTAAAACCCCAATCATCATCATCAGCTATCAATAGCGGCGGGGTTAACCGACAATTATGGGCAATAGACTGACAGTTTCTTTGCTGTTTGGTACTATCCCCAACAACGTCGAGGTACCGCAGCGCGAGGCGAGCACAGGGCCACAGGTGCCGTGCTGTTACCGGGATAGCGGTAGAGGGCTCCTGGTACCGTGCTGTTAGCGGGACGACAGCAGAAGGCTCCTGGTACCGTGCTGTTAGCGGGATGGCGACAGAAGGTTCCTGGTGCCGTGCTGTTAGCGGGATAGCGGTAGAGGGCTCCTGGTACCATGCTGTTAGCGGGACGACAGCAGAACGCTCCTGGTACCGCGCCGTTAGCGGGATAGGGGTAGAGGGCTCCTGGTATCGCGCTGTTAGCAGGACGACAGCAGAAGGCTCCTGGTAGCGTGCTATTAGCGGGATGGCAGCAGAGGACTCCTGGTACCACGCTGTTACCGGGATGGCGGCAGAGGACTCCTGGTACCACGCTGTTACCGGGATGGCGGCAGAGGACTCCTGGTACCACGCCGTTAGCGGGATGGTGGTGGAGGGCTCCTGGTATCATGCTGTTAGCGGGGTGGCGGTCGAGAGCTCCTGGTACCATGCTGTTAGAGGGACGACAGCAGAAGGCTCCTGGTACCGCGCCGTTAGCGGGATGGGGGTAGAGGGCTCCTGGTACCATGCTGTTAGCGGGGTGGCGGTCGAGGGCTCCTGGTACTGTGCTGTTAGCGGGACGACAGCAGAAGGCTCCTGGTACCGCGCCGTTAGCGGGATGGGGGTAGAGGGCTCCTGGTACCATGCTGTTAGAGGGACGACAGCAGAAGGCTCCTGGTACCGTGCTGTTAGCGGGACGACAGCAGAAGGCTCCTGGTACCGCGCCGTTAGTGGGATGGGGGTAGAGGGCTCCTGGTACCATGCTGTTAACGGGGTGGCGGTCGAGGGCTCCTGGTACTGTGCTGTTAGCGGGACGACAGCAGAGGGCTTCTGGTAGCATGCTGTTAGTGGGATGGCGGACAGCACGTACCGGAGCTGGCGCCGCCTCCAGTCGGCCATCCACTTCGTGCAGGTGCCGCCCAGACACGATTGGCTTTTGCAGCAGTTGGTCAAGACCACACACCCGTTGTCGGCTGCTGTCTGAAGAATGGGATGGGTGGTTTGGTGACATGGTTAAGTTGCATGGGCTGGAACTTGGGGCAATCCTGGAGGGTAAACTTATACAGATTATAGTAGCTGATTAAGTCAGGCAAAAATATGAGCAAAGGATACTCAGTGTAAAACTGGCACTTGTGACACATCATTCTTACTAAATCATATTTCACTGAGCTATTTTTGGTGTGAATGAGCCATGGTGTGTAGCTGTTTCGCTGTCATTGTCCCATCAGCTTCACATAATTTTTTGGCATAAGGAACATGAGACTCAGGTTGTGTGGTATACTGGTATGAGTGGAGATACAGTGAGTGACCATCACATTTATAATTCGCATGCAACAAGCAAATGCTAACCTACATTTGCAATCCAATCAGCATCCAGTAAATGATAAATAAGCTGTACTTATACCTTAATGCCTTAATCAAACTAGCTGATCCAGCAATGTTCAATTGTTCTTGAAGCTATCTTTGCTCACTCTCACAACACACAGTGCAGAACACAGTGATGTGTCACATCCTATGAGTCATAATGAACACATTGGAGAGCAGCTCCCCAAAAAGCAGACCCATGGGTAGTTATCATTCATACATCTCAACAAGTTGCAACTTACATTGATGGTTCAAAATCTCCATGACCAGTTTTCAGCCTGAGAAAGGGTCAAATAATTAGTGTCACTGTCACTTCTTATGGCTAGCCTTCATGAATGACTAAAAAGCCATCACAGCAGTTCTGAAAACTGCCATCAAATTTAACCATAATATATATGCACCTTGCTAGCCAATTTGAAAAATACATATTCAATGTGATGGTTGCCTCTGTGATATCAGTGTGCTAAGCTATCCACTCTCATGTGCCTAACATAGGCCTGGCCAGATTGCACTAAATTTGCAAACTACTTTTACTTGAAACATTGGGAGTATTTTTCCTTGAACTTAGCTATGAAGCATCAATTTTTTGGCACTGGCAGCCTCTGTGCACTTAAACTGATGGTGACAGTGCACCAAAGCCTTGTGGGCACAAATTGGTTGCATGCATGAACTGAAATTGTTGCTGAGATGATCCTTTAACACTGGACACATTCAATGCTACATGTGTCTTTGCAGTCTCAGTTATTAAGATATTTGAGGTGATACAGCCATAACCTGCAAATGAAAAAATTAGCAAGGCTTGTCTAAGATGTGCACATAAATTGATCCATATGTGTTCTAAGAGAAAACTATGAAAATATATGGCAACACCACAGTACTCCATCTATTTGATGAAGAACTGCTCCCACTGAGCTACTGAGGACACCATTCAGCATACCTGGCACATGCGTCAAAACCCAGGGAAGCTTGACCATCATGAAATGGCAAAAACATTTCAACTAACAATTACCATCCCAGCATGCAAATTTCCTTTTTTAAATCAATGACAACGAAAAACCGGTCTGGCAATGGGTCACATTTACCCATATAACGTCTTGACAAGATCTGGTACACATTATCTAATCGAGCTAACGTTCAATATGGCTTAAGAAAACATTCCTTTGACTCAGCAAATATCATACCCCCGAGCACGGTGGATACGAGCCTTCCGCAGGGTGGACTTGAGAGTAGAGCGCGGCCCAGATCAGGCACATTCACAAACGTCTGCTAAGAGACCTCCTTCGCGCCCAGCTGCGAGAGGGACTAAACAGTTGACCAAATCTATTGGCAGCCCCAAGCTCTGAGCCCATGACACTGATCAGCATGAAATATTCGCCAACCGATGTGCCATAGTCGATATCCTATCAGTTTATACTGAAGTGGCCTTGGGTCAGGTCAAAGGTCATCAGAAATACCAAAAACCGGAGAAATAAAGTTGCAGACATAGCCCCACCATGCCCGAACCTATGGGACTGATGGGCACAAAATTTGACCAGCCGATGCATAATGATTGCTTACGTATCCTTTCTTAACATGATGACCTTGCGCCAGGTCAAAGGTCAACAAAAAGGTCCAAAAGAACCCAAGATTAGTTTACAGACGACCCTATGCTCCGAGCTTATGGAACCAATCGTCACAAGATCTCCACCAATCGATGTGCAATCATCGATAGCCTGTTGTTTCCCGAACATAGTGACCTTCAGTCAAGTCACAGGTCACCAAAAAAACGGCCGAAACCACCTAAAGTTAGTTGGCAGATAATTTTATGCTCCGAGCCTGTAGCACAGATGAGCACGAAGCCCACACTAATCGATAACCAACCTTCTCCGGAACATGGTGACCTTGGGTCAGGTCGAACGTTACCAAAAATGGCCGACACCACCGTGGGGATTGTGTACAACCCCATGTTCCCTGTTTTATTTTTGGCGACCTCCGACCTGACCCAAGGTCACTAAGTTATTATGCTGAGCAGTGCTGTGGGCGCGGAGCAAGGAGGTTGTCTGGAACCTTCTTCCTTTTTGTATTGTTGGTGACCTTGGACCTGACCCAGGGTCACCATATTACGCCTGTGATTGGTTATCGACCAAATGACATCGAATGGAGATGTAGTATCGGTCGGTGCCATAGGTGCGGAGCATGGGGTGGTGACAGGTTAAGTCGGCTATTTTGCCCTTCTTCCTCCCCCCCCCCCCCCCCCCCGTTTTGGCCATTCCGTTTTTCGGGCGTACGCATGTTTCCAAATTCCTAGAGACTTTTCCGACGAAATATCTCAAGATAAACCTGAGAGTTCTAGCCGGCCGAAACTCACCAACATTACTGCCCATAAGCGCGCGGGGCAACTGCGCCACGCGTGAATTCTTGTGGTGGGGGCGGGCACGCGGGGTCTGCGTGGTTGCCTGTGCTTGGTGAGGAGTGTGGTTGTGGGAGCGGTCGTTCGAGTACATGTGGGTTGTTTGTGATGTGCATTGAGGGTGTGGTGCTGATTTGGATATTACTGGGGTCCTGGACTCCCCAGGCTTGCCATATTTTAACTTGGGGCCGGTGGCGATACGTGGAAAAGAAGGCATCGATGCCGAAATGAGGTTGTAGACGACACGTTCAGACTCCGGAAGGCTCTTCACTGTAGAGCCTTCCCCACTCCCACAACCGGTGAATCGTGGGAGATTTTGGCATGGGTTTAGGAACGTATTCGAGATTACTTTTGGACGTCAAATGGTCAAGTTCACCCAAAAGTTAATCTGGGAATGGCAGTTACCGTAATTTCAAGTAGCTCTGCCCTCTGGAGTAAACTAACTTGTAACCAAGTTTTGTGAAGCAGAATTACTTATATTGGATTTTGTCAACAAGAAGCACATTCTGACTGACTGAAAAGTGTCATTGGATGATTTTGTAGGAATAAGAAGTGATAGTTTGGGCAAATTCACACACAGAGGAAGCTTCTGAAAGGGATGAGTTCCTGATAGGGATAGTTAAAGAATGAGCTTCAGTTGTCCTACACCCTGTTTTTAGGGACAACCTGTGTCTGTTCTAGGTTTGTGTGCATTCTAGGTTTGACACATGTGATCATATAATCAGGGTCATTAATGTTCATGCTCATTGCTCAGTAATGCTGCTGTTAATTGCATAGGCCTCAATTATGGTGCAGTTGGGAACCCACTATTCTTTTTTGCACATGATCCTTGTCAAATTCTGTGCATCTGTAGCTTGGCTGTTTAGTGCACTTCTGATGATGAGTGATTGTTTACATGGTCTGTTTCAGGCATTTGATGAATGGTGCTAGCCAGAGTTGGAGTCTGTCACCATCCTTGCAAAACAAGTGATACAAAGCTGGCTTAAACTAAGGATGCCTGCTCTGTGGCTAGATCGCCTTCCTCTTCCAAATTTGCCAGCATACACTGCTATCAGTGTGGCTCTTTTGCTTTGTTCAGTGTACTTTGCAGTCACTACTCAAGAACGATTTGAGAAGGATGTGGTGTCCCAAGTGACATTTACAGAGGGCATTGAGAAGCTCTGCTTGCTACCGTGGTCTGACAGACCAGAGCATGCCCTGAAGACATCTTCCAAAGAATATTTATTGTTTCTTAGCTCTTATCCAACCCAGCAAGCCCTGCTACAGAACTTCATGAAGCACAAGCTGAAATCAGACTTTCTGTACTGGCCAACAACAGTCTCTGCTGTAGACCTTGATTACTTTAGCACCCATAGCAACAGTGCAAGCTCGAGTGTGTTCTTTGCACCCAGTATTTACTACAGTGATACAAAGATGTGGCACCAGGGCCTTCCAGTTTCAACTGTCCAGTCAAAGTTTGTGAAGACCTTGGCATTCATGATTCATGAACCCCTGTGTGTGTGGGTAAGTACTGAACCACTGCCATGACTGATTAGCAATGCACTGCCTATTTTTGCATTTTAACACAGCTTTTGTACCTGCATCCTTGTTTAATCTGTTGTTTTTTGCATTATTCTATGTTTCTCTTTGTTTTTTTCTATGACTTGTGTCTAAGCATTGAATGATCAGCCATTATAGTTGCACATACCACTGATTGAAGCAACATTGTATCTGAACCGCAGCTAATGCCTGACACATTTGTAATTTGTGGTTCCTTTGTTTTGCAGACCCTGATCAACATGGCATACTGTCTGCTTGTTTTGCTGGGGAAGTCCATTCAGCAGAGCATGTTTGGTGAACTGCGTGTTTCAGAGCAGACGCAGCTCAAGGATAAGTTCTGGAACTTTGTCTTCTACAAGTTCATTTTTGTGTTTGGTGTCATCAATGTCCAACACATGGATGAGGTAAGCATATCTTCATACATATCCACTTGGAAAATGTGCATACAGGTCAAAGTTCAGCTTCTGTTCAGAGTCCAGAGTCCTTCTTCTGTTCAGAGTCGGAGTCAAAGTTCAGAGTCCAGCCCAGCTTCCATTGTTTACTAACTGTTGATACAGGATCGTCAAATTGTTTGTCATGACATGTCATCTGATGCTCTAACCATGGCATTTTATCCACACTTGTCAATGTCATCTGACCCTGTAACCATGACATTTGGTCCACACCTGTCACTCAGGCCTGTTGTTCTCTCTTCAGATGTTTGTGCCTGATGATTTCAGTTTGCCAGCGGATGTCCTAAACACCATGGGCATCCACAGCCCACATCTCATTGGCAGCTTTGTTTGTGTGAGCCGACAGTTGACAGGCATGCCGCCGTCCTTGCCGCAGGTGGTGTTATGGTGCTCCTGGTTTTCGGCCCTGGGCTTCCTTCACCTCCTAACGCAGCTATGTCGCGACCGGTTCGAATACGTGAGTTGATGCGCACAAGGCGGCTCTCGATCCGCGCAGAGCAGCCGACGCGGCTGGGGAAAAGACGGTGGTCTGCGCCCGGAAAACCAGAGAAGGTGGTCTGTCACGAAGCTGGTGTTGTTACTGGGGTATAGCCCATCCGAGTCATCATCTCAAAAACAACAACATGATGAAATTCTTCGTGGACGTGTTATGATAGGTGCAATGTTGCACAGCCCGGTGCTTTGCGCTTGTTGAGTCATTACAAACCAGCGTCGTTCAGAAGCCTGGGTGTGGCCAAAAACGCCTGCTGTCCCAGCTGCAGTTGGAGGCAGGCTATCGTCTAATCCCCGGTGACCGAGCACCGTCTCTGAACCAGGTGCCAGGCTGTATTGGCCTGTTTTCCTGTTGGTTTTGGCTAAGGTCGTGCCAGAGCTATCCGACGGGCGGCCCGGCACCTGAGCCAGCCCGGGTTCGTTGGGGTTGGTGGGAGTAATTTGAGCTGTGC